CCTGTGGTCCGCTCGGCTTTGCACCGACGTGCTCTTGCACCAATTCATCACCTGTCTGTCAGGCATCAGTCAGGGTCGTCCTGCGAAATGTACACAGCTGTGGGAGCGAAAGGAAGAAGAGGAGAAAATGGAAAAATCCTATTGAATCAGATGTGGACTCATACAGCAGGAGGTTCAGATTATATTAGAGATTAAAAGAAAAACTCGTCAGACAGTGGAAGAAGAAGGAGCTGACCGTGCCGGGTGAATAGAACCGCGCGTAAAAACAACGATACTTTGCTGTTATCTGTAAATTACTGCAAAACATAACTGGTATATGTTCCAACGGACGCAAAATCATCACTAGCCTATCTGGGCTACATTATTTTGTAGGTTAGATCAACGCGCCTTATTTCCTTCACCATTTCTGCTCACAGTAACTGAACAGCTTGCCTTTGTTTTCTATTAAAATCCTACCTGTCTCCACAGACTGCAGTCTAAAGTGCTTCTCTTCTTGTCCATTAAACGGGATTACTTCGGCTTTTAGGATTTCCTTGTTTGTCTTTCAGCTGAATTGTTTTGCAAATAAATGAATACATTTAAATAAAGCGAAAACATCTGAATTCTAATCTTTGCCTCCATCAAGTCACTCTCCATTACAAGTTTTAGCGCTGAACCTTCGCATCGCTTCTTTAAAAATGCATTGATTTTTATTTTATCTAGAAGAAATTTAATCCACAAAGCCTATACAAGCCCATCTCAGCTGCCCCCGGGGGCAATTAGTTAGTGCAGCATCAAACAGCCTGCCATCACCTCCAGCTGAAGAAGGAAGCTTGTAATTCCTACAAACAAATGACTCATTCAGAAAGCATTAAAGCATCAATAGTAGTTAATCACCTCTTCACGTGCTCAGTTATGAAAGCCACATTTGTAGGTCATGACTTAATGAACTTTGACACATAACATAGTCAGGTGACTATTAACACTAAGGTGCACAGGACCGTCACTGATATGTTTAGATATGCAAAGACACTTTGAAACCAAGCAGGGACACACATCTCCAAATCAAATGTAGTGCTCACACAAAGCCTTAAAAGACCAGTTGATCAGTTTGTTAGAAGGCTGTTCTGTGATAAACAATAAAGTCAACTTCTAATTATTTCTTTTCTGATCGGCAGTGTGACTAACATCTCAAAAATAATGATAGATTATAGAAATCGCATTTAAAATCTTTTATCACACATTGGTAAAATTTGAGACATCACTAATACGGATTAGACAATACAGATATCCAAGCTTGAGTGCACAGAGGCACCTTTTCTCATGCGTAAAAACTCCACACACCACTGGTCTGATGGTGTGAACATCTTCCTGGTGGAAAGCTCTTTCAGGTTGCTACTGAGACTCCAACTTGCCTTCACAGCGATCGGGCTGCTGTGAATTAGGAATCATCAGACGCGCCTGATATGATCTCTGTCATCGCTGCTCCAAAACCGCGCAACCAACCAAATTGGTAAAAGTAGAAGAAAATGTGAGGGCTTGGAGCATATTGTTTTGTCAGTAAAGTGCGTTGTCAGAAATTAAATGTGGCACTGGTGTATATAAATCAATTTCTATCTATTCTGATTGCTCTGCTCACCTTTTGATTTTTAATACCCTGGGTTATTACTAATACATTTCTCTTTGATTTCCATGACCACACTATAAGATTACATTTAAATTGTGTAGGCGTAGGTACTGACGCATACTCACACACTGCCACAGTCAACTGACAGCCTTGCGAATCATTAATTTTCTTGATCAGAAACAGGTAAGGTCTTAATTTTCCAAATTGCCCACTGGAGCTGCTGATGCGCCCTCTGTGTTCCGCCTCCAACATGAGTTGCCACTGGTAACACGGAAGAGAAGGGGAGGGATTTCAGCGAGAGGAGCCAATAGTAGAGCTAAGATGCGTTGAGGGACACGGTGACCGCTTCCAATCAGCGCGTTTCACCCACTTCTGTCGCATGCTCAGCCTGCCGCCTATATAAACCACTCTGACAGTTTAGTAATTCAGTCTGATCGCTGGTCGTCTGGCAAAAGCAGGACTTTCAAGAAGCAAGCTATCGATTCAATCGAAGCATCTCGCTTAACCTAACCCTAACAGAATGAAAGCAATAAGCCCCGTACGGTCCTTCCGGAAAAACAACGCGAATATATCGGAGCACTCCTTGGGAATCTCTCGGAGCAAGACCCCGGTGGATGACCCGCTCAGCCTGCTGTACAACATGAACGACTGCTACTCCAAGCTGAAGGAGCTGGTGCCCAGCATCCCCCAGAACAAGAACGTCAGCAAGATGGAAATCCTGCAGCATGTCATCGACTACATCCTGGACCTGCAGATCGCGCTGGACTCCAGTGTCGCACTAACCAGCCTGCATCACCCTGCGCGACCGGGGCAGGCTCCATCTAGGACCCCTCTGACCACCCTCAACACAGATATCAGCATCTTGTCATTACAGGTAATTACACTGTAACTAAACGAGCATGTTAGTTGGAAAACACAAGCTGGTGTGTTGTGAGAGATATTTAGTGGATTCTTATTTGTGCGTACAGCCAGTGCTCCTTTGTATCCTATGCGTAACTCGTACAAAATGGCTCGTTGAAAAAGAAAATGGCATTTTTTTCCCCCTTCTTTTGTTCAGAATCAGATGTGGAAGAGAATCGACCTACATAACACTGTTGCAACGTCAGGCACCTCAGTCGGATGCTGCGTAAAGAATTAACATTTGGTCTGTTTGTTTGTTTGTTTTCAGTCCCCGGAGTTGCCATCAGAGCTGATGACAGATGACAGCCGGACTCTGCATCGTTAAAGCGGTAAGTAGGCTGTCCTCATGTCTGCTGCTGCATTCTGTCCAGGGCTTTGAGGCTCCGCTACAGCCTGTCTCCCAGTCTGCTGGAGCAGAATGGGCTAGAATTACCATTTACCAATCCATTTGTTCCCTGCTAATGTGGCCGTCGTCTCACGTTGCTGTAATGGTCCCAATATGTTTTTGCGTGAGAATGCGCTGCAACACTAGGGCGTCAGTTATGGCAAGGCACAAGCAGTTGGTTTGATTTCAATGCAGTTTTGAGCACAATCTTTCGAATTACAGTAGGGGCTTCAAAGCGCGTATTGTATTTACATGCTCTATCTCAAACAACACTACGGGCTCCTCCGGGACTGTGTCAGTAAAGTGACCCAGATTTAAAGATTTATTACGTTGATCAAATAGTTGTGACTCGTGTGTTGTATCCAAAGACTATTTTGCACTGGAGTTCGGTGGAATAAAATGGAAGCTATTCGCTCCAGGCTGCTTTGGTTACTGTATACAAGTGGCAATCGTCAGGGTTGTATTATACCCTCTTGTGTCTATAATGAAGAGCATCTGCAACAGGAAAAATAATGGCTGTTTGGATTACTGCTACTACGATGTCTGCACATAATTGGTACAAGAAGTGGGTAGGCGCCAGCTGAGCGGCAATTACGCTGATTCTTACCCAGATTGTAGGCTGAAGTTGTGCGAGAAGCGTGTGTGCGTCCTTCCTTCTCAGTCTCTCTCTCTCCCTCCCTCTCTCTGTGTGTGTGTGTGTGTGTGTATACATCTGGAGCGCAGCGTTTGCTTAGTATTGGGAGTGTTTGGTTAAATGTTAAAAACTGCGGCTTCCTCTCTGGCGCCAGTCTGTCCGGATCTCTGCCCTGTTTGCATTTTCTAAACACGCCTCTCTTTCTCAATCTTTTGCAGGTGTTTGGTTAAGACGCAAAAACACACGGGACCTGGTGAGCAGGACTTTCCCCCTCTCCAACCTCTGTCCTCCAGGCCTGGATTTTTCTTTTTTTCTTCTGACGCTGAAATCAAGAGACTTTCTTATTATGGGACAATCTTATGTGATGTGTTTTCTGTTTGGACACTTCATTATTTAACTTAAGACTTTATTTGTGGGTCTCGTGAATATAAAAGACAACTTGGTTAGTTACTGTAAAAAAGTTTAGTCTTGTCTTGTCAGAATTGTTGGCACATGAAGGACTGGACGTTGTTTAAAAAAAAAAAAAAGTTAAAATGAAAGAATGAAACCTTGTGAACTCTTATCGGGAGTTTATCTTGTATAGTTGCAGGAATTTGAAACTTCTGCAAAGTGTAATGTTGTACTTAATTATGCTGAAACTTTTTATAAAAGTAATGTAAATTGTACCTTTTTATACAAAATAAATCAAAAACGCAGTTTGAACATGTTTCATTTGGGGAAGAGCTGCTTGGGTTCGGGGGGTGAGAGTGAGAATCCCGTGTTGGTGGTTCAAAAGACGCCAATCCAGTGCGTAAAATCAGTTTCCCAGCTGACTTTCCCCATAAGTGCTTGGACATGAACGCGCTGTGTGTAACACTGACTGAACATGTGACGCACTTCAAAAACAAATCCCACAAGTGTTCTTATCTGATCTCCAAGCGTCAAGGCAAACCATTGCATAAAGGATCATTTAGGGCGCTCTGACTCCACTCTTACTTTCTCACATGTAAAATAAGTAGGATTAAACGGTTTAGCATGACAGTCTGAGCCATTAAAGCGCTGGGCTCTATGCTATTAATTTTCTTTAAATGAACATTTATGAATAGCCAACTCGATCTGAAACCAACGGTGATGTCTTACTGATGCCAAAACTAATATTCAATCTTCATTAGCAGTAATTCTTAGTTTGGTTGGGCCTGTTTTGCTTTCCTTTTGCCAAATGCACTGGTGTTTAACTCTACCGCCCACAGTAGTTTTTATAAAGTATAGGAACAGTACAACTTGCTCCTTGACCAGATAATATAGACACAGTGGAACAAACTATAGTGGGATGTATTCTCAACTTCTAACACATTTATTGTGATGACAAATGACCACCAGAGGAGAGCTGCACTTTCCCTTGGGATTAATAAAGCACTATAGCAAAAACCCAACCTCACATGCGCTCACTGGGTTGCAAAGGTGGCATCAATCACAATAAGGTATAAATGTCCAGGCTGCAGGATGATACAGTTGCTCCCCTACAGTGAAAACCCAGTGTCAATAGCGCACGGCTTCTCAAATATTCTCACAGGCCAAACCGGCCATTTAATTTACAGACCCGCATATGTTGACTTTACCCCCAGGGATCACCTAATAGGATCAGGATCGAGTGTGAAAACTGTAGAAAAGTTCACTATTCATCGAATATAACACAAAACTGTCAATTAAATAAAATTTTATAAGAATTCTAATTAGGAGTATTCCACATTTAAACACAAAATTACCTAACCCCCCACCCCCAGAGGACCCAGCAGACAATTTTAGGTCTTACTTTCAGTAGCTCTGATACAGACAGGAAGTGTCTGCTGCCTGAGCATGTTTGTATGGATAGTGCGACATCTATCGGGCAAAATGAATCCTGCGAATAGCACCACCAGTCCGCATGTTAACATCGTTTCCCTTTAAACTGCACAGAATAAAATACTGAACTGTTAAAAACGGGTCTTTTAGTTGAAGTATTCAAATTAATTTTCCACCTAACTTACATCTACAGACATTACAGTACAAACAGCTGAGCCTCCTGCAAGAAGAAGCAGAAAAGACAGGGTCCACATGTCAAATGTTTATTGGTTCACAAAACATCATTTCACAAAGATCACCACCACTGTGGAGCCAAGAACATGTACTTCTATCACAGAAACTACCAAACACACTGCATGACTCTGCATTGCCATCTATGCACCTGAGACAAAGGCTTTAAGGCTTTAGTAACATTAGGTTTTTCAGTTGTGGCTACATTTACTGAAACAATACTTTTTTGCTGTGCTGTCCACAAAATGTAACATAACTTCAGTAAACACAGTTTCCACAAAATAGCACTACATTCACATGAGAGAGAAATCACATTCTAACTATCCAAACACACGAGACAGCAAAAGGCCTTGATACATTAAATCATTACTCACAGCAACACTTTCCTACACTTTCTTCCTAACGACAGAACACGTATTTATACTAATTCTTTGGAACACAGCACGTTAACAGTGTAATTATCTCAACCAAGGAGAGCTTACATCGCTCTCAGATTAACGAGCAGCTCCTCAGAGGATACTCTCCCTCTCCTCTCCCAGACTGATGGAGCGCAGGTTCTGGTTGTGGATGGAGGCAGCCGTGGTGTTGGCAGTGTTGCTGCTGCCGGGGGTGATGATGACAGCTGGCGAGTCGTCGATGCTGGAGCAGCAGGTGGTGGACTCCGTGCCTGTGATGTTAGCCTGCTGCTGATGGCTGTTGTTGGTGTTAGTGTTGGCGGTGCTGTCAGTAGAGCTTGTGTTGTTATTAAGGGTGTTGTTGCTGGCAGTGCGGTTCAGGTTGCTGATGCTGCTGGACGGCCACCCTTCATCCGGGCTACTGGCCATTAAGCTGGCCTCAGATGGAGCCTCGGAGCAGATGGACATGCGGGCCAGCATGGTGTCCTGCAGGCTGCTAGGGAGGAGGCCTCTCTTCTTCACTACACCCTCCATTTCCAGTTCAATTAGGCTGGTGTTCAGTGCTTCCCTCTCTCTTTCACCATCTCCTTCGGTGTCCTCCAGGGAGTGGTCTGAGGAGCTGTCACTGGAGCGCATCCCTGAGTCGGAAGAGTCCTTCTTATCCAGGAGCATTTCAGCGAGGAAGCCAGGCTTGGTCGGCAGCCGAGAGGGTTGGGAGGATCCACGGGAAGACAGAGTACCAGCTCTTGCCTCTTTGTGGAGAAGAGGCGTGGTGTTGTCAGCTTCTTCTGGGCCCGAGTCCTCATCATCGGGCAGCTTGTGATAGTAAGCCCCAGCTCCCTTCTTCCTGGAGCCCGAGGTCCTGGAGGCCAAGCTGTGGTCCAGCTTCTCATCCTCTTCGCTGATGGGGTCTAGGGGCTGGGCATCAGTGCCTGAGGCGAAATCTGTGGCATCACTAGTCTTGGAGCCTCTCTTGGTGAAAGACTTGCGGCCGTCTTGGTCAGCTCCTTCCTTGGCCTGAGGAGTAGGAAGAGGATTCAATGAGAAAATGAAAACATACAGTGTCCTGTGCTATTGGCTGAGCGGCCGCTGAAGAGGAGATTATTGTCTCCCATGTGCCAAGTGAAACAAACAGTATAAGCCAATGATTAAAAAACAACAAGAAGCAGTGATTTCCCCTTTCCCAGCCCAGAATAAGACCATTGCACAGGCCATAGAAACACAACACTTAAAAACAGCAACGTAACATACAGGCTGTCACAAGTTAATGACAAGGGTTACCACACATTATTTTCCTGTAATCTGACAGTGGGAGTTTCTACTCAGATTTGAGTAAAGTAATTATGCCAGTGTTACAGTGACAAAAACATGACAGTGTACTTGTGACTACACCCACCCCTTTGTCCTCTGAGCTGGCAGCCTGGAGGAACTGTCCAGGGTGGGGCTGCAAAGGCTTCTCCCCCCCACTGCCGGACAACTCCAGCTGGGCCATCTGAGCGATGTACTCCCTGTAGGCATCGCGATACTCAGCCTGCTGCTTGTCTGTCAGCTTGCAGATGTCATTTGAGGATTCTTGGGAGTTGAGGCTGGACATGCTTGAAGTGCGGTGATTTGCAACCTGACAAAGCAAAAAACACTTGGGTTGGTGCGCGAACATACACGGGTTCGTTGATGAATATGCTGTCAGCTGCAGAGTGAAACTGCTGTATGGCTGTGGGCTGTTAACTTAAGAGTACATAACACCACACACCACATATAACTATAAAAATGTGGCAGTTGCAATAGCATTTATTACAATTATGTGTCATAATTACATCAGCAGCCACCAAAATGTTCAGAATATGAGAAGTGGATACAGCAAAAGGGTTCCTGGCAAACATGGTAGACAAAGTGGTAATGAAAGCTGTGGTGTGTTTTCAGCATTTGAAACAGATCACTAAGTGAGATTATATAAAACAGCAGCGCAGCCAGCTGCCTACGTGTGACTGTTTGTTCGTGTCTCCGAGATTTTGCAAATTGGGAATAGGTAAGGTGAAAATAACGAACAGGGGGCCCCTCAACACCTCTTGGTGTGCTGCATGTGTGTGAGTATTTTTAATTCCGCCATGTTCGAGAGCACCATGAGCTTCCTCTTCTGTTCTCTTTACATGTTTAAAACCACATTAATGTAAAACCACTAAGGTCACAGCATGCTAACTAAATCGGTACATGGTGCAGAGGACGTGTGGCCCATGTGACAGTTTGGTGTGTGTGTGACCTTGTGATGCTTTGTGCGAGTGTTACATGTGCACATGTATGCTCACACCAGCAACATTTACATCTCTTATCTCTTTTGCACATGCATATGGCTAAGTATAATGCGCATGCACACAGTGTGCGACCATATCTGATGTTGTAGTATACAGTGGGTACGGAAAGTATTCAGACCCCCTTAAATTTTTCACTCTTTGTTATATTGCAGCCATATGCTAAAATCATTTAAGTTCATTTTTTTCCTCATTAATGTACACACAGCACCCCATATTGACAGAAAAACACAGAATTTTTGACATTTTTGCAGATTTATTAAAAAAGAAAAACTGAAATATCACATGGTCATAAGTATTCAGACCCTTTGCTCAGTATTTAGTAGAAGCACCCTTTGGAGCTAATACAGCCATGAGTCTTTTTAGGAATGATGCAACAAGTTTTTCACACCTGCATTTGGGGATCCTCTGCCATTCCTCCTTGCAGATCCTCTCCAGTTCTGTCAGGTTGGATGGTAAACATTGGTTGACATTTTCAGGTCTCTCCAGAGATGCTCAATGGGGTTTAAGTCAGGGCTCTGGCTGGGCCATTCAAGAACAGTCACAGAGTTGTT